TTTTATTATTAAATTCTCTGTCCTATTCCACTGGTCTATGCATCTATTTTTGTACCAGTACCATGCTGTCTTGGTTACTGTGGCCATGCAGTAAAGTTTGAAGTCTGTGAGTATGATGCATCCAGCTTTTTATTTTCCTTGAGGATTGCTTTAATTATTTGGGCTCTTTATTACTTCAATATGAATTTCAGTATTGTCTTTTCTAGGTCTGTGAACAATGATGCTGGTAGATTGATAGGGATTGTGTTGGATCTGTAGATTGTCTTGAATAGAATTGATATCTTGATTATGTTGATTCTTAAAATCTATGAGCCTGGGATGCTCTTCCATTTGTTTGTGACATCTTTGAGCAGTGTTTTGTAGTTCTTATTGTAAGACCTTTTACCTCTATAGTTAAATGAGTGCTGAGGTCATTTATATATATATATTTTGACTATTGTGAATTGGATTATATTTTTGATTTGGTTCTCAGCCTGCTTGTTGAAGGTATATAGTAATACAACTAATTTTTGCACATTGATTTTGTGTCCTGAGACTTTACCAAAGTTGTTTATCAGTGCAAGGAGTTTTTGATAGACTCTCCAGGATTTTCTAGGTATAGAATCATATCATCTGTGAGGAAGGATAATTTAACTTCTTCTTTTCCTACTTGGATACCTCTAGATTCTTCCTATAGCTGATTGCTCTGGCTAGAACTTCCAGTACTTTAACAATAGGAGGGATAAGAGTGGGTATTCTTGTCTTTTTCCATTTCTTGGGGGAGTGCTTTCAACTTCTGTCCATTAAGTATGATGTTGGCTGCAGGCTTGTCATAGTGGTTCTTATTGTTTTGAGGAGTGTTGATTTGATGCCTAGGTGTTTGAGAGTTTTTATCAAGAAGGGATGCTGGATTTTACTGAATACTTTTCCTGCATCTATTGAGATAGTCATGTGGTTATTGCTTTTATATCTGTTTATGTGATGGATTACATTTATTGATTTGTGTATGTTGAATCAGTCTTGCACTAGGAATGAAGCCTACGTGGTCATGATGAATAATCCTTATTCATCCTTACTGTAATGTGCTGTTAGATGTAATTTGCTAGAATGTTGTTGAGAACTGTTGCATCTATGCTCGTCAGAGAAATTGTGGTTTCCTTTCCTTGTTGGGTCTTTTCCATTTTGGGGTGTCAGGATAATATTGGCTCCATAGAATAAGCTAGGGAGAATTCCTTCCTTCTCATTTGCTTGGAGTACTTTTAATAGGATTGGTATGAATTCTTTCTTATACTTCTAGTAGAATTCAGGTGAGAGCCCAGCTGGTCCAAGGTTCTTTTGGCAGTGAGGTTTCTTATTACTGAGTCAATTTCTTGGATTGTTATTGGTCTGTTTAGGGTTTCAATTTCTTTCTGCTACAATCTTGGGAGGTTATGTGGTGCCAGGAATAACTCCATTTCTCCAGACTTTTTAGGTTATTTGCATACAGCTGTTCATAGTGATCTCTCATAATCTTTTGTATTTCTTAGGGTTGGTTGTAACATTTTCTTTTTCATTGTAATTGTTTCTTTTTCATTGTAATGTATTTGAATTCTCTCTTTCTCTGTTAATCTGGGCTGGGGTCTGTAAATCTTATATATCCTTTCAAAACCAGTGTTTCTTCTTGTTGATTTTTAGTACGATTTTTCGTCTCTATTTCATTTAGCTATGAGTTTATTTTGATGATTTTCAATGTTCTATTAATTCTAGGATTGGATTGCTCTTGTCTTTCCAGCTCCCTATGTGCAGCATTGTTAACTTGAGATCCCTCTATTTTCTTGATATGTGTTTGCAATGTTATAAACGTCCCTCTCAGTACCAATTACTTGGTTTCTCAGAGGTTTTGTATGTAGTAGCTCTCTTTTATTTGCTTCTAGGAATCTTTTATTTCTGTGTTAACCCAAAAGTCACTTAGAAGCATATTATTTAATTTCCATGTATTTGTTTGTTTTGGGGGTTCCCATTGTTGCTGATCTTTATTTTTTTCTGCTATGGTCTGAGAAGATGCTTGGTATGATTTTGACCTTTTGAAATTTGTTCACACTTGATTTATGTCTAAGTATAATCTTAGAGTATGTTCCATGTGCTGATGAGAAGAACGTATATTTTGTGGTTGTTGGATGAAGTGTTCTGTATATGTCTATTAGATCCAATTGGTTGTGTGTAGAGTTAAGGTTCTGGATTTTCTTGTTAGTTTTTTTTTTTGCCTCGATGATCTATCTGTATAAGGCTTTTAGTGGGATAGTAAAGTCTTCAACTATAATTGTATGGCTTTCTCTGTCCTCTCTTAGTTTAACTAGCAATTGTTTTATAAATCTGGGTCCTCCTATGTTGGGTGCATATATATTCAAGATGGATATTTCTTGTTGGTGGATTGAGCTTTTTATCATTACTTAGTGTCCTTCACAGTCCTTTCTAACTATTGTTGGATTAAAGTCTGCTTTGTCTGATGTAGCAATAGCTACTCTTGCTCTTTTTTGTTATTTGTTTTCATGGATGATCTTTCTTTAACCCTCTACCTTGAGCCCATGAGTGTCATTTGCAGTGAGATGGGTTTTCTGAAGACAGGAGAAAGCTGGATCATGCTTCTTTATGCAGTTTGCCAATCTATACATTTTGAGTGGCATGTTCAGTTTGTTCACATTAATATTGATATGTGGTGACTTGTTCCTGTCATATTGCTATGAAGATTGCTTTGCATTTTAGGCTTTATAGTTGATTTGTATCGTCTGTAAACTGTGCTTTTTTCCCTATCGTTTTGTGATGGTTGGGACTGTTCCTTCATTTCTGTGCTAGAACTTTCTTAAGTATTTTTTGAAGAGCTGTTCTGTGGCATATTGAATATCTGGCATATTGAATATCTGAGAAGGATTTTAATTCTCCTTCATTAATGAAGCTTAACTTGGTGGGGTAGGAAATTCTTGACTGGAATTGCTTTTCTTTAAGAAAATTGAAGATGGGACCTGAGTCTTTCCTGACTTATAAGGTTTCTGCTGAGAGGTCTATCGGGATTTTGGTGGGTCTTCCTTGTTAGGTAGTCTCTCCCTTCTCTCTAGCTACCTTTAGGACTTTTTTCTTTCATGCTCACCTTGGCAAATCAGATTATTAAGTGCCTTGGGGATGGTCATCTCATGTAATATCTCATAGGAGTTCTCTGAAACTATTATGTCTGTGTGGTCACCTCTCTAGTGAGATCAGGAAAGTTTTCTTGCCTGACATCTTGAAAGACTCATTCCAGGGTGTTCTCAGTTTCCACTTCTCTCTCAGGGAAGGCAGTCACTGTAGATTTGATCTCATTACATCATCCCAAACCTCTTGTAAGCTTTGTTTACTCTTCCTAAATCTTTTCTCCTTGTTTTTGACCGACTGGTTTAGTTTAACAATTCAATCATCAAGTTCTAAGATTCTTTCCTCTGCCTGTCTGATTCTGCTGTCAAGGCTTGCTACTGTGTTCTGAAATTCCAGGACAGAACTCTTCATTTTCAGAAGTTCAGTTTTGTTCTTTCTTGAGAACAAAACTAAGCTTTCATGTTTGCACTATTTCTGTGGCCTCGATGATTTGCATGTCCACTTTCTCATGGATCTTGTTGAGTGTCTTTGCCATCCATAGCCTGAATTCTAAGTCTGTCATCAGGGGCAAGTCATTCTGGATAGGTTCCATTGCTTGGGATCTGGGAATTGCCAGTGTTGTTATTTGTGAGGGCAGTCTCATCTCTTTTAATTTTTTATTGAGATAAAGTTGCTACTATTGAGGTGGCAATGTGTGTGTGTGTGTGTGTGTGTGTGTGTGTGTGTGTGTGTGTGAGTGTGTGTGTATGTGTGTGTTTACCTGACCTCCCTCCTCTGGTCCACCAGTGAGAGGTTCAGCTCTGGCAGGAAGGGTGGTGAAATAGGGAGAAACTGGCACTTCTTCATTGGTGCAGTCTGGTGGGACCTGGGTAAGTCCTTTCCTTTAGCTTAGAGGCTTTTCCCGTTCTCCAACACAGGTCCCCGGGGCCCTGGCTGTCCAGGAGCTCTGATGGCCCCCTCCCAGTTTATGTGTCTCACCTGAAGATTTGGCAGGCAGCCAAGAGGGGCCCCCTGGCTCTACCCTGACATGGGAGGGACTATTGTAGTGTTGGTGGTCCCCTGAGGGAGGCAAGTCATGTTTTGCAGCCCTGCACTGGGGTCACAATCTTTCTGAAATGGGCACGTTGCTCCTGCTGGGTGTTGGCAGGCGTGGGGGAGCCCATGTGGCACCTCTTAGGGTGTTTCCTACAAAGCTTCTTCATGGTGGGGTTGGAGGCTGCAGTGCCAGGGCTCTCCAAAAACTGGGATTCCCTGGGCTCCATGGGGACCTCTCTGGTGCCTCTGTCCCGATTTAGGGCAGCCTTCTGTGCCTGGCTGGTGTGGGAAGGATGCAGGTGAAGGGCCTAGGCTGTCTCTCCCTTGGCTGACACTGCAGAGGCTTGTGTGAGGTGTGTGGAGAAGAAAAGCTGACACTCACATACCCCTTCTTTCTCTAAGGGCACTCTCCCAGTCTCATAACAGGGCTGCTTCTAGGAGGACTGGCAGCTTGGAACTGTCCAACAGACCATCGGCTTGGGTTTTCAAGCTGACCCTCAAAGGCCTAGGTATAGTCCATATAGGTTTCTTTGCTGAGAGCAGCAATCATGTGATGGCTTTAGTTGGTCAACTTGGCCCTTGCCAGAATAAATATTTTAAAACATATTATAACCTGTCAAATTTCTTTGAATTATACCTGGAATTCATGGCATGACCAAACAGAGAATAGATTCTTTGTATTAGAGTTCAGAAGCTTTTATGTAACAGACATTAAATTTGGCTAGTATATATTTTTAAAACCCCAAAACCTTATTTTATGTAATTGTTATCAGTTGCTAATAGTTTATTGTTATGTAATATGTAATTATTATCAGTTGCTAGAGGTCCCTCAAACTTCATGATTCTTCAACAACATGTTGTAACATTTTTGTTGCTTTCAGAAACTGCCAACTGAGTGATGAAGACCACTGGATTTATCAGGTTATTTTGAATCAGTACCCCGGAGATCTCACTGGCAGAAGGACTCTGTATCTAGACATGTTACAAAGATATTTTCCTCACAAATCTAGGCATGATTTGGTGAGTGCTGGACCTACCTACACACTGGCAAGCTAAGTTGTTTTAGTGGTCAATAATTATTAAGTGATATATATATTGCAAATGACACTCTGAAAATTATTTTTTCCTACGTTCTAGAAAATAATAAGATTATAGGTTGAAAGCCTATGCAGGCCACTTTTCTCAGGTCTGCATAGTCCATAGAAAGTGGAGGACCCCGCTAGTGACATTTACTCTTTCTGTGCCTACTTGCTGTAGAGATCTTTACCATGGCTCCTAGGGTTGCTCTGCTAGTGTCTGACCACCCCCTAGGTGTCCATACAGTCACCTTCCCACCCTCAGAGGTTCTGCCCTCTCTGGATCGTGCCTAAAAGTGGAGTGCCTGCTCCTCCATTGACATAGCTTGACTTTCTAGTCATGGAAGGGCCAACACTCGCCCTTGGGCCTGGTACTTACTGATATGCTTCTTACACAGCAACTCTGCTTGATTCTCTCGGTGGCTCTGAAATACAAATGACCCAAATACAGAACTCAAAAACCTGACTGAAATTTCTCTGAGAAGGAACTGGGAAATTACTGTTTTATTGTTTTGTTCTTTAGACAAGACCACAAAGGGAAGAACTTAGAAGTTACCATATCATCAATTAATTTCACAATAACTCACCTTATAACATATATATAAACAAACACAGACTCTTAATTTTTACATGCTGTAAAATATTAAAATGTACTCTGCATTTTTATAATTGATTTAAATTAAGCAAGTAGCAATAATACTCAAATGTGTATAGAAGTGACCGTGTCATTGATGTGGAAATTCCTTGCATGACTGAGGATAAGAGAGGTGTTATTGTTATACTTATATCCAGATGAAGAAACTGATGCAAAGGCCATACAGGTAGTATGACCAACCATTTTCTCCCATTTCTTCTATCCTCTCTCATTCCACCCCTTTTTTGGGTGACAAATACCTGTTACATAATAAATAGTTCACTCCGGATTTTTAACAATTTCTTTCTTCTTTTTTTTTTTGAGTTGGAGTCTTACTCTGTTGCCCAGACTGAAGTACAATGGCTCACTCACGGCCACCCCAGCTCGACCTGCAATCCTTCTGCTTCAGCCTTCCAAGAAGCTGGAACTACAGGCATGCACTACCACACCCAGCTAATTTTTTATTTATTGTAGAGACAAGGTTTTGCCAAGTTGCCCAGGCTAGTCTTGAACCTGTGGGCTCAGGCAATTCACTCACCTCGACCTCCCAAAGTGCTGGGATTACAGGCTGAGCCACCGAGCCCAGCCAATTTCTTATTTTTTGAGACAGATTCTCACTCTGTTGCATAAGCTGGTGTGCAGTGGCACAAATCATAGCTCACTGCACTCCTGGGCTCAAGTGATCTTCCTGCCTCGGCCTCCCAAGTAGCTAGGAATACAGGTGCATCCGGCTAATTTTTAAATTTTTTGTAGAGTCAGTGTGTCTTGCTATGTTGCCCAGACAGATCTCAAACTCCTGGCCTCAATTGATCCTCTGGCCTTATTCTTCCCAAGTGCTGGAATAACAGGTGTGAGCCACTGTGCCTGACCAAAAACATTTAGTTTATTAAATTAGATCTTCCTTTTTATTCCATGTTGGTTCTATTTGCTACTGTGACAGGCTGTCATTTTTAACTTTGTAGATTTTTATATTTTTCTATTATTAACATGGCAGCAATTTTTACATTTACTTCTTACATTGGATTGATCAGTATGCGTTTCTGTATGGTGTATGTTTCCTTTCTTAATGTTTGACAGATGTTAAGTATATTTTTGGCTTTATGAGACAAAGATAAAAAGTTTACAGAACAGATTTTAGTAACTGATACTTGATTTAAGTGAGACCATCATGTACCTAATTAAACATACCTAAGGTATTATTTTGGGCAGGACCTACCTTATCCTGTTTGCTAGTTGCTTTTCTCTCACCTCCTACAGGTTATATAATGAATCAAATTCAGAAGTGTGGATTTTTAAAACAAAATTCAATAACTTTAGAGGGTACAAATTGTTTTAGGTTACATGACTGCATTGTATAGTGGCAAAGAAATCTGGGCTTTAAGTGTACCCAGCACCCCCACCTGTGCACATTATACTTGATAGGTGATTTCTCATTCTTCTCCCCTTCCAAATCTCACCCTTCCAAGTCTCTAATGTCCATTATACCATTCTCTATGCTATTGCGGACCCTTAGTTTAGCTCCCTTTTATAAGTGAGAATCTGTGGTACTAGAAGTTCCATCCAAGTTGCTGAAAAAGACACTATTTCATTCTTTTTTTTTTATGACTGAATAGTATTTCATGGTGTGTATATACCACATGTTCATTATCCATTGATCAGTTGATGGGCATTTAGGTTAATACCACGTCTTTGCAATTGTGTGTTGTGCTATGATAAGCAGAGGTGTGGTTTATACTGGCAAAATAAAAAATTATTTAGATCAGTGATTCTCAACTTTGGAAGACACACTTTTATATGAGAAGCATTTCAGAATCACCTGCAAAGTTATATCAAACTACTTGGGCTCTCTCCATTCCTGTTCTTTCCCCCAGACTCTGATATCTCCCATGGTTGAGATTTGCTGCGGGAAGGAGCTATTGCCACCTATGTGAAAATGTCATGTCCCTCAAAAATGGACATGACAGTAGACAATACTTGGTTTAAGTGAGGATGAGAAGGGCTCAGAGTCACTACTATGATTATTTTAAGTTTAGGCATCCTAACATCTGAGCATTTCTGTAATTAAGGACAAAACTCTGAGCTTTCAGCATTTGTTGTAGCAATTTTTAAATGTTTATTAGCATGTTGTCTAACTGAAACACTTGATTAATAGTTAAAATGCCAAAAATGATTTAGATAAGGAAAGCTAAAATTTATATATAGGGTAAATATTGCTTTCTTTTCATAGAATCATTGCCATTCTTGATGTGAAAGCTGTTTTAAAGGCTGCCTGTTCTAACTCCATCCCTATGAAGAAACTAAGGACTTACAAACATTAAATGGCTTATCTTCAGTTACCAATCAGCCACAGGCTCAGAACTCTGAAGCTAGTACCTCTTTCCTGGTTCTGTTTCCTATTAAGATGCTAGTCCTCAAATGTTCAAAATCTGTGGTTAGAATTCATTTGATGCATTTTTATTACAATAACATAAAATGCAGGCCCATTTTCATAACGATAAGTATTCATGGTCTGTTATCTCTTCAGGTCAAACATGAGAAATATTGTGACCAATATCGCTTTGCTAAGGAGCAGCGAAAGATCCTGATATCAAATTGGAATAGAAATAGGAAGGACTTTATACAGAAGGCTGTGCTGACCCTCCTTGAGGCCTGTGCAACTCATGAAACAGAGAGCACCCTAGCTAAGGACAGGAAAAAGCAGCAGGAATTATGTGCTGATCTGAAAGCCAAGGTAAAACACTTCAAAGGCGTTTAGGTATTTGTTTAAGAATCCAGTGTTCCCTTTTGCTCAAACCCAACCCCAAGTTCAGTTACTATAAATAAGCCTATCTTTAATAAAACTGTTAGTTTGAACCATAAAACTGTAATTCTTTTGGGTTGACAATCAACAATTTTATGTGCTTCAACCAAAAAGTTACTATAGCAGGATGATAATGTTAAAGATTTGATTGAGACATCTAACACTGACCATAGATGCTGCACACTAGACTGAGGTGCTGGGCAGAACTGCAGAGTGTACTTATAAAATAATTGTCGAATGCTGATTCAGAGACTCTTGGACTTCTCATTTACATCAAAGATTTAAAAAGTCAAGCTATGAAGAGAAAAGAGGTTTCTTGAGGAGATACTACCACCACAATCAAGATATAGAACATTTCTACCACTCCTCAAAAATCCTTCCTATCCCTTTGCAGTCAATATCTTCACTCACCTTCAGCCTTTGATAACCACTGATCTGTTCTAGGTCCTAATATTTTTGTCTATTCTAGAAAGTCATGTGAATGTAACCAAACAGTATATAGCCTTTTGAGTCTGGCTATCTTCACTCAGTATAATGAATTTGAAATCTAGCCTTGTTGTTGTTTGTAGCAATAGTTTGCTGCAAGCTTACTGGGCTGTGTGTGAATCCTCAACAAAGTGTGAGGTTTTTTTCCTCCTCGGGCCCGAGAGAGTCTAGGGGGCCTTGAGGATGGCTTAGGGAGTTAGTGAGTAACCCCAGTAGTTTGGAAGGCTTGAGGACTACTGTCTTATGCTCACAGGGAAGTACAGAAGAGCTGCCTCAGTGGCAGAACTGAAAATAAGAGTGACTGCTGTGTTGGGGCAACTGCATTCCCCAGACGGGTCATGGGTGCATGAGTCCTGGAAGCCTGATGTGGATATCGCCTCCCTAGCCATGTTGGCAAGGGTCATTAGAAATAAACTGTATTGAGTTACAGCATACATTCAGTCAAGTGCACAAATCTTGATTTATTGATAAATAATATGGTAGGAGGATGATGGCACAATATGAAATTTTATTCTCTCAATAGAAGTAAGCCATAGCAATTAATACCATGTAAAACAAATGTCTCTGACCTAAACACTAGAGAAAAATGACTTGTCTGCATTTTAAAAGAACCAAAAAACAAAACAAAAAGATAGGCTGGGCACAGTGGCTCAAGCCTATAATGCCAGCATTTTGGGAGACTGAGGTGAGAGGATTGCCTGAGTCCAGGGGTTCGACATCAGCCTAGGCAATTTGGTGAGACCTCCTCTGTGCAATAAATAAAAAAATTAGCGGGACATGGTGGCACATGCTTATAGTTCCAGCTGCTTGGAAGGCTGAGGCAGAAGGATCACCTGAGCCCAACAGGTCAAGGCTGCGGTGGCCATAAACGTGCCGCTGCATTTCAGCCTGGGTGACAGAGTGAGACTCCAACTCAACAAACAAACAAAACAAAAAAAGATATTTCTTTTGCCGTTGCATAAGCTTGGAACTTAAAAGAAGTAAAAGCTGCATCAAAACTGACCTACCATGTGCTACAGAGCTAAAACGTATTTCTGCTCCATCTTCAGTCTAAGATTCGTACAGGGGTTGGGGTCCCATGATAAGTCCTTGTATTCCCAGTCAGTTTATATTCATTCTGCACATATTATCATTGACCCTTGAGCTATGCTGTCAGTGATATTTTCTGTATATTGCATTGCATTGAGGTAAACTGACATGCAGTAAAGTGGGCAGTACTGACATGTACTATTGGATGAAGTTTTACATATATACGCTCCCAGTTAAACATTGCTGAGATCAAGATACAGAACATTTCCTGCAGCTCACAAGTCTCCATCATGCTGTTTCTCAGTAAATACTACGATCACCTGTAACCACTATTCTAACTTCATCACCATAAATTAATTGCCTACTCTTAAACTTCATATAAATCAAATCATACAGTATGTATGCCTTGGAACTTACATTCATATGTTCCATCTTTGTTGCATATAACAGTAGTTTGTTCTTTATTACTGTGTAGTGTTTTATTGTATATGTATATATTGTCCTGTTGATGAAAATTTGAGTTGTTTCCAGGTTTTTGCTATTATGATAATGGTGCTATGACATATGCATATGTCTTTGGTGGACAAGTGCACTCATTTCTATTGGATGGAAACTTAGGAACAGAATTCCTGGGTCATAAGGCTCAGGTGTGTTTAGCTTTAGTAAATACTGCCAAATAGTTTTCCAAAGTGGTTAAAGAAATTTGCAGCCAGTTTCAGTTGCTGCACATCTTCACCAATATTGGTATTGCTAATCTTTAATTTTATCTGATTTGGGACTGAGTAGTGGTACCTCATTTGGTTTTCATTTGCACTTAGAATAAAGATGTTGAGCATCTTTTCATATGCTTATTAGCCATTTGGATATCCTTTTTTTGTGAAATGTCCACTCAAGTCTTGCACTATTTTTCTATTGGGTTGTCTATTTTTATCTTATTAATTTGCATAGCCTTTTTTAGTCTATATGCAACTGCTATTGCTTTTTTTTTTTTCAACCAATCTATGGCCATGTCTTTTCACTCTGTTAATGGTGTCTTTGAATGTTAGCAAAACTACCTAATTTTAATGAACTGTGGTTTGTTATTTTAAAATGTTTTATGATATAAGTTTTTATACAGTAAAATAATCATTTTTAGTGTATAGTTCTGTGAGTTTTGAGAAATATATGGCATGCAACTGTCACCACAATCAAGATATAGAACAGTTTCACCACCTCTCAAAAATCCTTCCTACCCCTCTGTAGTCAACTTCTCACCCACCTCTAGCCTTTGACAATCACTTATCTTTTCTGTGTCCTCATTGTTTTACCATTGCAGAATGTCATGTAAATGTAACCAAACAGGATTTGACTTCTTTCACTCAGCATAATGCATTTGAGATCCATCCATGTTGTTGGTTGTATCAGTAGTGTGTTCCTTTTTATTGCTGAGTAGTATTCCATGATGGAGATAAATCACAGTTTTTCCATTCACCCGTGGCTTCCAGTTTTTGGCAGTTAGTGTTACTAAGGGGTCTTTAGCCATACTCTTGTTCCTTCCCTGTGCTAGACTGTTACTAGACACCTGCTAGGCTGGTAAGGAAAGGGGCATTCTGCTTTCCTCATTCAGCCTCAGTCTCTAGTAGGGCCTGTGTCCCTAGGTCATGGGGATAGGGCCTACTCAATAATCTTGCACTTTTCCCCATGGTGGACAAATTCTGGCTTGTGTCTTTAGTGGTTCTTGTGAGGGACACAGATTCCTGTCCCTCTCCAAGGAAAAGAGGTTTCTTTGTTCCCTTTTCCCAAGTGTAATGCATCTACACTTGTGTGGTGGTGAGTTTGCAGCTCTTCCTCCAGCGGCTACTGGTCTTTGTTCTGTAGTGCATTGGTTCCTCTCTTGCAAATCTGCACTGACACAAGAGGCTGTCTCTGTTCTCCTACCATGACCCCATTCTTTCTTGAGAGCACTCTGTGAGATATGTAGAAAAAAGCTTGTGAGTGGGTGCTGAGTTTTCATCTGGTGACAGGAGAAATCTGAATGGGGGACAAAAATCATGTTATGTTTTGATTATTTTCCACATGTCATGTGTTCAGTGTATCAGGCATACTTTACTGAGTGTTCCCTATATTTGAGACATCCTGATAGATACTTTATAGGAATTTTCTGTTATCATCTCCAAACACAGATCTAAGTTGAGATGCCAGAGGCTGCTGTAGAGCATATCCACCTGCTGAAGTCAAGGCTCCAGGAGACAACCTGCTATGGAGCCTTCTTAGAGAGGTGTGGTCACAGCAGGGGGGACAACTATCTGAACTTTCAGGGATGAAACCTCCAAAAGGAAAATGTGGGCAGACACTGGAGAAACTGGAACATAAAGTACATTGTAGTAAAATGGATTCTATCATCCACAGAGACAGTGTTATCATTGAAATTAGGGACTGGGGTGCGATAAATGATAGCTGAGTCAAAAACAGAAAAAGAATAAATCTATAAATTCTATAGTCATTTGAAATGTTAAACTATGCTTATGATTTTTTTTTTAACCTGGAAGGAAACTTGGCGATTTATCTGTACTCTTCCTTTGACAAGCCTGAAAACTGAGTCCTGAAAGATGAAGTGACTTGCCCGAGGTTCACAGCAGCTCATTCAACTTGAAATTCAATATTATCTCGGCCCCACAATGGGTTGCATGCAAGGATCCTACAAAATAATAGAAGATATTTATTATACTGTAGGCTCCAGTGTGCTATAAAGTAGACCCAGAGAGTGTGAAAATATTACTTCACTGTATCATAAATTTGACCTTTCTAAAACTAATATGCCAGCTATAATAAACATTAATTAAACATTTAACCATAATTTTATTCTCAGCCTTAGAATTTAAAAGGACTTTGAGGGGGTGGTTTAGATGATTCGTGTCTTTTAAGAGCAGTGTGAAAGGAGTTTTGAAATAATGGGCCTATGCTCTGTCTCTGCTTTGTTTTATTTTGGTTTTCTGTCAGTAACAGTTGCTGCAGCAAGCAGAAGCATTTGGACTTCTTACCAGAGGAATGAGAGGAAAGAGAGGAAGTAGAACACTCATTTTTCTGCTCCCACAAAACCTGATCTCTGATCCTCCAAGTTTTCCCAGACCGCAGGCTAGACCCAAACCATTCTGTTCACCATGCACCTGATTCCTTAGATTCTTGTCTTTGCTTGGCATAGTCAGGCACCTCATTCCTAGAGCAGTCTCACAGTTGCCTTTCTTTGCCTCCATGCTGGGTGATCAAATGCTACTGAGAAAGAGTAACCTTCATCTGAATGCTCAGTGCCCCATGAGGGGCCTTAGTCTGTCCTTAGTTTGTTCATTCTTTTATGACTGTTCCACATGGTCACCATTCCTCAAGACCCTTACCTAACACCATGCACCCTTAGCCCCAGATACCCAGGAGACAAACTG